TATATATATATATATATATATATATATATATTTATGAATAAAATGACAATAGGAAAACTGGTAATTGCTTTCGTTTCGTCCAATGTGAACTTTATCAAAGCAAAATACGAAAATGAAATCAAATGAACAAAGTAACTAATAAAAAAAAAACAGAATGTACCTAAGCAACCATGCACAACAGATTCATAAAATCGAAAGAAAATGGTTGAATACATCAACACAGATATAATGACAATATTCTCCACACGTGACAATCTCTGACGTTATTTTTCAGTTAAAAAATATGAAAATAGCGTTTCTCTACATTCCATTTGCTAGGTACATTCTGTTTTTGTTTTTATTAGTTACTTTGTTCATTTAATTTCATTTTCGTATTTTGCTTTGATAAAGTCCACATTGGACGAAACGCGTCAGCAATTACCAGTTTTCCTATTGTCATTTTTATTCATAAATATTGTCTTCTCTACCGATTAAATCGGAGAAATTTTCATATATATATATATATATTATTCTTAAAACAGGAAACATTTTATTAATGAAAAAATCCGATACAAAATTATCATTTCTATTAAAAATAGGAATATTAAGGAGAAAGGGAGGGAAAAAAGAATTAAAGTTGCCCAGCCTTTTTTCCTCCACTCGCATTTGTTTCTCTCAATTCTATTGCAAGAAGGTTTGTTTCCTTTCAGTTATTTTTCTTAATTCCGACAATTTTTCCTCTGACGAAGCGTCGGATGAAAGGTACCTTAAAATTTCTATTTTTAATCGAGATGATTACATTTAAGAATACTACTTATATGGTGTGGCACTAAAAATCTTTTTCATATATATATATATATATATATATATATATATATATATATATATATATATATATATATATATATAAAAAATAAAGTTCTAAGGTATGCTATATTTAGCGGATATAGTGCTCAGTATCCGAGACAGAGCGTATGTAAATATAAAAGTGAATATCGAAGTCAACACTCAAGACAGACTGTTTCATGCTAAACCTGACGGTGGCCTTATGATTGCGTTTAGCATGAAACAGTCGGTCGCCTCTGAGTGTTGAATTCAATGTTCACTTATATATATATATATATATATATATATATATATATATATGAAGAAAGAACAGTAAGATATATAATCCGGTGTTCTTATAGATATTTTATTTTACAAAATAGTGCTCAATGTAAATTTACAGAGCATTATAAATATTTTAAATCAATTAATATATATATATATATATATCTATATCGATATATATATATATATATATATATATATATATATATATATATATATATTATGCAGTGGTACAGTGAGTAATTGGCGCCTCTTGACACATAAGATTTATAATTCAAGTCCTCCTTAATAATACAACTGATTGTTACCTGCTGAGTTTGGCGTTTGTCCTTGTCGTCTCAGGCCCCACATGCCTTTGCAAATCGTAGAACATGGTTTTAGGGTATTAAAACCATTCAATGAAGTCCTTGGATTTGTGGCCGGTGCGAAGACTATCTACAACAGCAGCTCGACGATAGTATTCTGAAGATCTGTCGATTACTAAGCACCTTATGCCTCAATGGCGAAACATGTACTGACGGGTTCAGTACTTTCTCGAAACCTCGCTACGCGGTGACTTTACGACGCGGTTGCCACGTAAAAATTCCGGATTTATCTGCGTCACACACACACACACACACACACACACACACACACACACACACACACACACACACACACACACACACACTATATATATATATATATATAGATAGATAGATAGATAATTTAGTAGAAAATATACATACATATGCAAAATATATAAATACCCATACATGTATATTTTTAGAAAAAAAAAAAATTCAGAGGAAAAATCCAGGTAGAACTCAATGTCTAGGACAGAGTAAGGATATAATAAAAAAGGAAACACTAATATTATTTATTCCATTGAATCAAATACGATTTCATCAGACCTTTGAATTTGTAGGTCTGAAGAATTGAATCGTATTTACGATTCCAATGGAATAAATTATGACCATGGAATATTAGTGTTTAAGCTTTTTATTATATATATATATATATATATATATATATATATATATATATATATATCAAAGTGTAGAAGAACGAACAGTAGGATTACGGCGTTCAAATTAATTTCAAAATAGTACTTAATACATAAAGTAGAGCCGTAAATATTTATTTATCTTATGCAATGTTACATTAGAACATGCACATATCCACTACAAAATTGCACATTTTTGTTTCAACGTCAAAAAAGTGGAAAACCTTGTTTAGACGTCTCATCAGGTGGAGAATTAAGGTGTTACTAAAAAAATTTATTCAGAAATACAGGTTTTCCCTTTTTTTGACGTTGAAACAAATTATAGAATTATAAATCTTTTGTGTCAAGAGGCGCCACTTACTCACCGTACCACTAGTCGTCCGATTTATTCAAACCCTGACAGTTAGGTTGTCAAGCGAACATCATACCAACTGTTCCAAATGGGCCTCGGTGAAGAAGAGATTCCAAATCTCAATTCAATTTTCAATTCTCGGTAGTGGATGCGCACTGCTGATGAGTCCCAAATATAGGACGAAACGGCCGTCCAGTGCTTTCTGCATTCTGTTCAGGTTTCTATCAGACTCGATGAATTAATTAAATATATATATATATATATATATATATATATATATATATATATATAAAAATACAATAGGAAAACGGTAATATTATCCGATGCGTTTCGTCCAATGAGGACTTTTTCAAGGCAAAAACGAAATGAATTTATTAAAACAAAGTAACTATTAATAACAAAGCAAAATGTCCTTAGCAACTGGAAGAATTTAGAAAACACTATCATATTCATATTGTCACTGAAGATATAACGCGATATATTACAGTTTTCCTATAGTCTTTTACATTTATAAATATTGTCTTTTTCTACAGGTTAACTCTGAGAAATTTTTCATATATATATATATATATATATACATATATTATTTATTATTTTTTTCATATAGACAAAAACAATTTACTCACTAAAAAGATGCAACCATCTTTCGGTGCATTTAGTTGCACCTCGACTAGTGAAAGCCAAAATGGTTATGCATAACCATTTTGGTTCTTACCAGTCGAGGTGCAACTAAAGGCCCTGAAACGAAGTTGCATCTTTGTAGTGAGTAAATTGTTTTTGTCTATATGAAAAAATTATAATAAATAATTATTGCTCTACTATCGGTATGCTGGGAACGTTAGAATTTATATATTATTTTCGTTCTCATTACATTCGGATATTCTTTATATATATATATAGGCAGCTAAAGTTCTTTAAAGCTAATATTATTAAAAGCAACCAGACATTTTGTGTCGATAAATTTTAATGATCAACTTTTTAAAATTATAAATATTTGTTCTCAGAAATTGCGTTTCTGAAGAAAATTACTAGAAATCTAGTCCAAGTTTTCGACTTTATGAAGTCATCATCAGGGTAGACAGAGACAATTAGCAAGTTTCGTAGAAACAGTGAGTGTTTCAAGGTAGGCGAGGTGTGATGTTTGTACATATATATATATATATATATATATATATACCCAAGTACAGGAATTTTTTTGCAATCAACACCACATTTGATAAGACACCAGAAGTGTTGAAATAAAATTGCAACTTTTGTAGTGATGTTATAATGTGCATATGTTATAAATTTTAATATATATATATATATATATATATATATATATATATATATATATATAGATAGATAGATAGATAGATAGATAGATAGATAGATAGATAGAGAGAGAGAGAGAGAGAGAGACAGAGACACAGAGACTTGCCTGCTACCGTACGTGGGCAAGCGGTGTCCATTCTTCACATTACAGTTTTGATGCAGTTCAAAATCGTCTACGCGTCCTTGTGGGTGATGAATTATTTTCCACCCTCGCTTTCTCACAGACGGAACGTCGCAAATAGCATAAACACTTCGGCTGTCCCTGTGGTGCAGTACAGTTTCAACATCCTTAACTCCATCATAGCTGACATTAAGCGAATGGATGTCAAAACGAGAAAGCCTCTCACTTGCCACCGCATGCATTATGCTAAGGCTGATGTTGATCGTCTTCAATGATACCTGGAAACAAAAGAAAACTGGATGATGACATGTGTCAACAACATGAAAAAAAAAAAAAGAAAAAAAGAATCTTTCTTACCTCCAACGCCTTCGTTTGCTTTGTCAGCCAACCTTTCCCTGATATTGGCTGCTGGAAAACAGAATTCAGTAATAAAAGAAGCCAGCTAAGACTTTCAAAGAAACCAGAATTCAACTACTACGGCGGCAAAGAACGTAAAAAAAAAAAAAAAAAAAAATAACAAAAAAAGGAAAAAAAGAAAAAAAAAAAGCAGTTTACAAAATGCAGAAACGATAGCTAGACAAACCTCATCAAGGTCAATACTATGTCCTTACTAAAGAAGCTGATGTAAATATGATGCATGCGGTGTCAGCTATCGTTACTTTCATGGAAAATGTTCAGACTAACTACATCCCTTAGTTCCACCAGCTCTAACGTACACGGCTAAGGCTCATCATATCACACCCATTGTAGCGACCACACTTCTTTCCCTTCGTATTGCATTGCTGAGATGTTCCACTCGAGCCGCTGCTTTGTGGAACCGTCTCCCAAAATCAAACTTTACTCGAAAGGAACAAGATTTGAAAATGTTGAAGAAATCCAAGAGAATGTAAAATGGCAACTGTTCACTATTCCCAAAAAAGATTTCCAGGAATACTTCCACGAATGGAAACGACACTGGATAAAGCGTGTGGCTTCAGTAGAGGGCTACGTCGAAGGAGATTAAACTGATATGTGTTGTTTTCTTTTTATAACATCGGCACTGATACTTTTTTTTTTATCAGACCTTGTAGGTGATGACCATGCTCGATGTTGCTTAACTATGGTGAACGTGTGAGAACTGTTATTTCAACGTAATGTGGCTATAAGCCAAGAGAAAGATAGATAACGAGAGTAAAAAAAAAGGAGAAAGAAAACAAAGGTGTAGGCAAATAAAAGAGAGGGATAGAAATATATGAGAGGGGTAATGTGAAGAAGAAGTAAAGGACCGAATGAAAGAAAGAGGGATAATGAGAGAAAAAGGGGTAAGGAAAAAACGTATAAGGAAAAGAGACAGAGAGGTAATATAAGAGAGGAATGTGTGAGGAAAAGAGACCGAGGGGTAATATAAGAGAGGAGAGTGTGAGGAAAAGAGACAGAGAGGTGATATAAGAGAGGAATGTGTGAGGAAAAGAGACCGAGGGGTAATATAAGAGAGGAGTGTGTGAGGAAAAGAGACAGAGGGGTAATATAAGAGAGGAATGTGTGAGGAAAAGAGACAGAGAGGTAATATAAGAGAGGAATGTGTGAGGAAAAGAGACAGAGAGATAATATAAGAGAGGAATGTGTGAGGAAAAGAGACAGAGAGATAATATAAGAGAGGAATGTGTGAGGAAAAGAGACAGAGAGGTAATATAAGAGAGGAATGTGTGAGGAAAAGAGACAGAGAGGTAATATAAGAGAGGAATGTGTGAGGAAAAGTGACCGAGAGGTAATATAAGAGAGGAGTGTGTGAGGAAAAGAGACAGAGAGGTAATAAAAGAGAGGAATGTGTGAGGAAAAGAGACCGAGGGGTAATATAAGAGAGGAATGTGTGAGGAAAAGAGACAGAGGGGTAATATAAGAGAGGAGTGTGTGAGGAAAAGAGACAGAGAGGTAATATAAGAGAGGAATGTGTGAGGAAAAGAGACAGAGAGGTAATATAAGAGAGGAATGTGTGTGGAAAAGAGACAGAGAGGTAATATAAGAGAGGAATGTGTGAGGAAAAGAGACCGAGTGGTAATAAAAGAGAGGAGTGTGTGAGGAAAAGAGACAGAGAGGTAATATAAGAGAGGAATGTGTGAGGAAAAGAGACTGAGGGGTAATATAAGAGAGGAATGTGTGTGGAAAAGAGACAGAGACGTAATATAAGAGAGGAATGTGTGAGGAAAAGTGACCGAGAGGTAATATAAGAGAGGAATGTGTGAGGAAAAGAGACAGAGGGGTAATATAAGAGAGGAGTGTGTGAGGAAAAGAGACAGAGAGGTAATATAAGAGAGGAATGTGTGAGGAAAAGAGACAGAGAGGTAATATAAGAGAGGAATGTGTGAGGAAAAGAGACAGAGAGGTAATATAAGAGAGGAGAGTGGAGGAAAAGAGACAGAGAGGTAATATAAGAGAGGAATGTGAGGAAAAGAGACAGAGGGTAATATAAGAGAGGAGAGTGGAGGAAAAGAGACAGAGAGGTAATATAAGAGAGGAATGTCTGAGGAAAAGTGACCGAGAGGTAATATAAGAGAGGTATGTGTGAGGAAAAGAGACAGAGAGGTACTATAAGAGGAGGATATGTGAGGAAAAGAGACAGAGAGGGTAATATAAGAGAGGAAATGTGAAAAAGAGACAGAGAGGTAATATAAGAGAGGAAATGTGTGAGGAAAAGAGACAGAGGGGTAATATAAGAGAGGAATGTGTGAGGAAAAGAGACCGAGAGTGTAATAAAAGAGAGAGGAAATGTGAGAGGAAAAGAGACAGAGGTGGTAATAAAAGAGAGGAATGTGAGAGAAAAGAGACAGAGAGGTAATATAAGAGAGGAGTGTTAGGAAAAGAGACAGAGAGGTAATATAAGAGAGAATGTGTGGAGGAAAAGAGACAGAGAGATAATATAAGAGAGGAAATGTGTGAGGAAAAGAGACAGAGATGTAATATAAGAGAGGAATGTGAGGAAAAGAGACAGAGAGGTAATAAAAGAGAGGAATGTGTGAGGAAAAGAGACAGAGGTGTAATAAAAGAGAGGAATGTGTGAGGAAAAGAGACAGAGAGGTAATATAAGAGAGGAGGTGGAGGAAAAGAGACAGAGAGGTAATATAAGAGAGGAATGTGGAGGAAAGTGACTGAGAGGTAATATAAGAGAGGAATGTGTGAGGAAAAGAGACAGAGAGGTAATATAAGAGAGGAATGTGAGTGGAAAAGAGACAGAGAGGTAATATAAGAGAGGAATGTGTGAGGAAAAGTGACCGAGGGGTAATATAAGAGAGGAATGTGTGTGGAAAAGAGACAGAGACGTAATATAAGAGAGGAATGTGTGAGGAAAAGTGACCGAGAGGTAATATAAGAGAGGAATGTGAGGAAAAGAGACAGAGGGGTAATATAAGAGAGGAATGTGTGTGAGGAAAAGAGACAGAGAGGTAATATAAGAGAGGAATGTGTGAAAAAGAGACAGAGAGGTAATATAAGAGAGGATTGTGTGAGGAAAAGAGACAGAGACGTAATATAAGAGAGGAATGTGTGAGGAAAAGAGACAGAGAGGTAATATAAGAGAGGAATGTGTGAGGAAAAGAGACCGAGAGGTTATATAAGAGAGGAATGTGTGAGGAAAAGAGACAGAGAGATAATATAAGAGAGGAATGTGTGAGGAAAAGAGACAGAGAGATAATATAAGAGAGGAATGTGTGAGGAAAAGAGACAGAGAGGTAATATAAGAGAGGAGTGTGTGAAGAAAAGAGACCGAGAGGTAATATTAGAGAGGAATGTGTGAGGAAAAGAGACAGAGAGGTAATATAAGAGAAGAATGTGTGAGGAAAAGAGACAGAGGGATAATATAAGAGAGGAATGTGTGAGGAAAAGAGACAGAGAGATAATATAAGAGAGGAATGTGTGAGGAAAAGAGACAGAGAGATAATATAAGAGAGGAATGTGTGAGGAAAAGAGACAGAGAGGTAATATAAGAGAGGAATGTGTGAGGAAAAGAGACAGAGAGGTAATATAAGAGAGGAATGTGTGAGGAAAAGAGACAGAGAGATAATATAAGAGAGGAATGTGTGAGGAAAAGAGACCGAGAGGTAATATAAGAGAGGAATGTGTGAGGAAAAGAGACAGAGAGGTAATATAAGAGAGGAGTGTGTGAGGAAAAGAGACAGAGAGGTAATATAAGAGAGGAATGTGTGAGGAAAAGAGACAGAGAGATAATATAAGAGAGGAAATGTGTGAGGAAAAGAGACCGAGAGGTAATATAAGAGAGGAATGTGTGGGAGGAAAAGAGACAGAGAGGTAATATAAGAGAGGAATGTGGAGGAAAAGAGACAGAGAGGTAATATAAGAGAGGAATGTGTGAGGAAAAGAGACAGAGAGGTAATATAAGAGAGGAATGTGTGAGGAAAAGAGACAGAGAGGTAATATAAGAGAGGAATGTGAGGAAAAGAGACTGACAGGGGGTAATATAAGAGAGGAAATGTGTGAGGAAAAGAGACAGAGAGGTAATATAAGAGAGGAATGTGTGAGGAAAAGAGACTGAGAGGTAATATAAGAGAGGAATGTGTGGGAAAAGAGACCGAGAGGTAATATAAGAGAGGAATGTGTGAGGAAAAGAGACCGAGAGGTAATATAAGAGAGGAATGTGAGGAAAAGAGACAGAGAGGTAATATAAGAGAGGAATGTGTGAGGAAAAGAGACTGAGAGGTAATATAAGAGAGGAATGTGTGAGGAAAAGAGACAGAGAGAGATAATATAAGAGAGGAATGTGAGGAAAAGAGACAGAGAGGTAATATAAGAGAGAGAAATGTGTGAGGAAAAGAGACAGAGAGATAATATAAGAGAGGAATGTGTGAGGAAAAGAGACCGAGAGGTAATATAAGAGAGGAATGTGTGAGGAAAAGAGACAGAGAGGTAATATAAGAGAGGAATGTGTGAGGAAAAGAGACAGAGAGGTAATATAAGAGAGGAATGTGTGAGGAAAAGAGACCGAGAGGTAATATAAGAGAGGAATGTGTGAGGAAAAGAGACAGAGAGGTAATATAAGAGAGGAATGTGTGAGGAAAAGAGACAGAGAGGTAATATAGAGACAGAGAGGAAGAGTGTGAGGAAAAGAGACCGAGAGGTAATATAAGAGAGGAGTGTGTGAGGAAAAGAGACAGAGAGGTAATATAAGAGAGGAATGTGTGAGGAAAAGAGACCGAGAGGTAATATAAGAGAGGAATGTGTGAGGAAAAGAGACAGAGAGGTAATATAAGAGAGGAATGTGAGGAAAAGAGACAGAGAGGTAATATAAGAGAGGAGTGTGGAGGAAAAGAGACTGAGAGGTAATATAAGAGAGAAGTGTGTGAGGAAAAGAGACAGAGGGTAATATAAGAGTGGAATGTGAGGAAAAGAGACCGAGAGGTAATATAAGAGAGGAATGTGTGAGGAAAAGAGACAGAGAGGTAATATAAGAGAGGAATGTGTGAGGAAAAGAGACAGAGAGATAATATAAGAGAGGAATGTGTGAGGAAAAGAGACAGAGAGGTAATATAAGAGAGGAATGTGTGAGGAAAAGAGACAGAGAGATAATATAAGAGAGGAATGTGTGAGGAAAAGAGACAGAGAGAATAATATAAGAGAGGAATGTGAGGAAAAGAGACCGAGAGGTAATATAAGAGAGGAAATGTGTGAGGAAAAGAGACAGAGAGATAATATAAGAGAGGAATGTGTGAGGAAAAGAGACAGAGAGGTAATATAAGAGAGGAATGTGTGAGGAAAAGAGACAGAGAGATAATATAAGAGAGGAATGTGTGAGGAAAAGAGACAGAGAGATAATATAAGAGAGGAATGTGTGAGGAAAAGAGACCGAGAGGTAATATAAGAGAGGAATGTGGAGGAAAAGAGACAGAGAGGTAATATAAGAGAGGAAATGTGGAGGAAAAAGAGACAGAGAGGTAATATAAGAGAGGAATGTGTGAGGAAAAGAGACAGAGAGGTAATATAAGAGAGGAATGTGTGAGGAAAAGAGACAGAGAGATAATATAAGAGAGGAATGTGTGAGGAAAAGAGACAGAGAGGTAATATAAGAGAGGAATGTGTGAGGAAAATAGACAGAGAGATAATATAAGAGAGGAATGTGTGAGGAAAAGAGACAGAGAGGTAATATAAGAGAGGAATGTGTGAGGATAAGAGACAGAGAGATAATATAAGAGAGGAATGTGTGAGGAAAAGTGACAGAGAGGTAATATAAGAGAGGAATGTGTGAGGAAACGAGACCGAGACGTAATATAAGAGAGGAATGTGTGAGGAAAAGAGACAGAGGGGTAATATAAGAGAGGAATGTGTGAGGAAAAGAGACAGAGGGGTAAGAGAGTGTTAGATGGGCAAGAAGCCGGAGAAGAACGACAGAAAGAAATAATGAGAGAAAAAAGGAAAAAGAGTAAAAGGTTACGTAAGAGAAAAAGAGTTAGAGAATTAATGTTAAAGGGTGCGTGATGAGGTGGGCCACAGATTGAGAGAAAGGGAGATAACGAGAGAAAATAAAGAAGAAAGAAGAAATGTGTGTGCCAGAGAGAGGTTCAGAGAGAGAGAGTTTGAGAGAGAGAGAGAGAGAGTGAGAGAGAGAGAGAGAGAGAGAGAGAAGAATCACATCAAGTGAAAAACAAAGTGATAAAAATTTCAACTGAGAATTAAACAAAAAGACAGACAGAAAACGATGGAGATAAAGAAAGTAAGATGGTGTACCTGGTATGGATTTGTGCGCCACATAATATGAATCAGCAGTATTGTGTAAAAAGAAAAAAAGTCCTTAAATGTGAAAAGAAAAATATAGAAATAAAATATGGCTGAGAGGTTTATATTCTATTTTCAAACGTTCATATTTTTAGATAACCTCCTCCGTACAGAATGCGAAGTCAGCATTAGTTTTGTAATTTTCTTTTTTATTTTGATGATTTGGTGTGAGAAGATGTATGGAGGATTTTTATTTTGAAACCTAATCTGTGGTGACAAACACAAGGGTCATATTTATATGCACATCAACATGCATAAGTACACAAGCACACATATATACACCCATACGACTAAGCACTGAAAGGATGTCTTACATATCATAAATATATAATCAGTACAAACACACACACACACACACACACACACACACACACACACACACACACACACACACACACACACACACATATATATATATGGTTTTAAAATGACTTCAGACAGAGTCATCAAGTCGAGTTGAATCCTATATCCACTCTATAGTCCTGGGTATGACGATAAACTACATCCGGCAGCAAAGGCTTGGATCGAGAGATTGAGGTTTCGAGAAGCATGGAACCACCTCTTAACTGCTGTTGTCCCCAGGTCCACCCTGACTCTGGGTGGTAGCACCTGCTAGGGTCCCAGCTATGGGCAAATAGCGAATCCCTCAAACACTATGAAAATATAAAATTATTCTTTCAGTAAAAATACCATCAATACATTATTAAAATTGCCAATAGTACATAATTACGGTAGAATAAATTTTTAAAACAAAAAAAGAATACATTTTTCTGTTGTTGAAGCCATAAAACTATGTTCAGAATATTTTTATTGTAGGAGTTTTTTGGTCAATGTGGCATGGACTAAATTATTCTATAAATAGATTAATGTCGCTGTTGTTATCCCGAACATTTGCACATCGGATCAGTTCTTTTAAAATCAAATATGTGGTGCAGTTCAATTTATATTACAATGAATCATTGATATAAAAATAGATTAGTAAAGTTAATGTTATAAATGGCGAAAAACATCTTTGTGAACAATTTTAAATCTGTGTCAAAAAAGAAAAAAATTCAGCCTTAACGTTGCGACTGAACGCTCTATAAGTTCTTATCCGTTAACAATAACACATTTCTAAAAAAACATATTTCGATTCGCATTTAATTTTTCGTGTCCGCTATTACCTGGATTTTACTGAAAACAAAATAATTTCCATGCCTGAGGCTGGCTGAATGTACAGCCGAAAGGCCTAGAAGATTAAAAAAAGGCCTTATACAAACTGAAGTTATTAAAAACAAGGATCATAACATTCATCGAGTGATTCGTAGGTTAATGCAACTTTAAAATTGTTTGCGAAGATGTTTTCGCCATTTATATCATTAACTTTACTAATCTACTTTTTGTATGAATGATTCATGTAATATAAATTGAACTGCACCACATATTTGATATATATATATCTATCTATATATATATATATATAATTTTTTAAAAAAGTTAATAAACATTATAAATTGCAAAAAATATAATCTCAGGTCCATATTCCTTCCCACCGAAACGCCTCGAGAATAATTCGAAACATAACCGTTGCCGCCCCAAAAAATAACCGTAAGGGCAATACAAGAGACTACTCAAATGCAATAGCATCACTGATCTCTCTCTCTCTCTCTCTCTCTCTATATATATATATATATATATATATATATATATATATATATACAGTCAAGTCTAAAACACAACGCATATGGCCTGACGATTGCTATAAGCATCAAACAGACTGTTCCTGGTGGGTATTGATTTCAATGTCGACTCATATATATATTGATGTGGGGCCAAAGTCGGGACCACAGAAGGAAAACACGGAACACGGATTAGATGTAAGAAAGATATATTAACAACAGGTTACAGAGATAGTGTAAGCGGAGCTTACTATATGTTAGTGTCCAATACTGGTAGTCGTACGCGGCTCTCACTGTCTCTCTCTATGTCACTCTAGAGTGTTGTGTCGCATACTTAATATAGACCTGGAAGAGTCTATTTTGTAGGTAGTTCCGGTTTCACAATACCCCACTTCCAAGAGGCGATACGGTTTTTTTGAACTTTGCTTACCGTGGAATAAGTTTGTCGAAAACAGACTTGATTTTCCTTGCGAACATTGTTTCTGCAGGCGAGCTTCCCATAGGCGTGTTCGGATTAGGGGTTATCCGATACACCTGCAGAAACTGTTGCAATGATCTGTCTGTGTGCCTAGTGCCTTTTTTAAAGCCCTTTTTAAAGTATTCACGAACATTTCGGCCTGGCCATTTGACCTAGGGTGGTACTGAGGCGTTGTAATGTGGTCCACCTGATATGACTTGCAGAAGTCTCTAAATTCACTTGATGTGAATTGAGTGCCATTATCTGTAACTACACAATCTACCACGCCAAAACGCGCGAATAGCTCGTGTAGAAATCCGATCGTTCAGTTTGTGGTTGGTCTTTTGCATTGTAGGACCTCAGGTCATTTTGAGTGGCTATCCACAACAATGAGGTAGTACATATTGTCTATAGGCCCTGCAAAATAGATATGAATTCTTTGTCATGGATGGTCTGTTTTTGGCTATGGTTTGCACGACGGGGTTGGAGCTTTTGCTGCAAGCGCGCATCCTTTGCATGATTCTATCATGTCTGCTATGTCCTTGTCCATGTTTGGCCAATAAACAGCAGCGCATTAGGCTTTTCGTACGGTTCTTCCCCGGATGTCCCATGGGAAAATCCCTGAGTATTTGTCTTTGTAGGCTGTTTGGAATCACAACGCGGTCATTGTATAGTAGGACATCATCGCAGAGGGAGAAAACTTCCGGCACCTTCGGGTCTTTGTTGCGCATTTTGCTTTTTATGGATTGAATGAATTCATCCTCTCGAGACTCCCTTTTTATATCGGCCAAAGTAACTGGGAGCTCTCTTATGGTACTCGCGATCATGTTTTTGATTTCACAATTTGTCCTTAGAGTGGCAATGATGGAGTCTTCAAAGACTTCTGTATTTTTTGGAATGAGTCGCGATAAACTGTCTGCATGGGAAATATTTTTGGATGTTAGGAACCCTATCTTGAAATTATAGTTTAAGAGAATCGTTCCCCAACGAAGTAGTCTATTTGCAGTATAGACTGGCAGACCTTCTTTAGAACCAAAAATTGTAATTAGAGGTTTATGGTCTGTCTGCAGTATGAACCGTCTACCATGTAGATATCTGTGAAACTTTGTCACAGCGAATATTAACCCTAGAGCCTCTTTCTCTATTTGGGAATATTGTTTCTCAGCTGGAAGTAGAGAACTTGATGCGAGAGCCACAGCTTTTCGCGAACCATCTGGCAGTTTATGCAGAATGCAAGCACTAATGCCGTACAAGCTTGCATCACTTGCGACTATGATGTCGAGACTAGGGTCGTAATGGGTGAGGGAGAGGTCTGAAGTAAGAGTTTTCTTGATCTTCTCGAATGCGTCTTGGCATTCCGGGGTCCATGACCATGGTTTGTCCTTTTTTAAAAGTTGGTTGAGAGGCCCTCTCAAATTTTGCATGTTCTTAATGAACCCTTGGTAAAAGTTAGCTAGGCCGAGGAAGTTTTGTAACGCTTGAACGTTATCTGGGGCCGGCATGTTTCTGATCGCGTTGGCTCTTTCTGGATCCGGCCGACGACCGTCTTTATTTATAATGTACCCTAAGTATTTAATCTCTGGTAAGAAAAAGTCACACTTTGCCTCCTTAACCTTAAAACCGTATTCTTGTATCTTTTCAAATACGTTTATTATATGGTTCCGTTAATTTTAACGTAGTTGTATAAATTTTCACCACACTTATGTATTTTTTTTATAGAGGTACAAAAAGAGAAAACTCACCTCAGTGAATTTGAGGGGAGAATAATTTTATGCACGAGTTCAACTCAGTTGCATAAAAAAATTTTTAGATAGTTTATTTTTCGAAAATTTGAGTAGTACTTCTGCTCTTGTGTTGTCAGTTTGTTTTACGAACAAACTGTTTTTTTTCTGTGTGTGGGTGTGTAAGAAATCGTTCTCGAAATGTTATTTGGACAGACTTTAATATTCCGTAGATGTCAAATCGCTAGATCGTCACTGCTGTTTGGTATCGGAATATATATATTTTTTTATATGTAGAGCTGGGGGTTGCGTTTAAATCGCTAATGTAGTAATGCCAGCTTAATTTCTCGTTCAACACTGCTGTGGGAACGCGTGGAGTTTCTGTGTATTTTTCGAGTACTCTGTCGCTATTGATATGGTGAGAACGAAATTCTCCAATCTTTCTGTCGCCACTGATGTGGGACTGGCAAGATATTGCGGTTTTCGACGTGAATGCGTTTCTCGAATTCTTCGTCGACACAGATGTGGGACTGGTAAGGTATTAAGGTTTCGGCGTGAGTGCGTTTCTCGAATCCTCGTTGCCACTGATGTGGGGCCAAAGTCGGGACCACAGAAGGAAAACACGGAACACGGATTAGATGTAAGAAAGATATATTAACAACAGGTAACAGAGATAGTGTAAGCGGAGCTTACTATATGTTAGTGTCCAATACTGGTAGTCGTACGCGGCTCTCACTGTCTCTCTCTATGTCACTCTAGAGTGTTATGTCACATACTTAATATAGACCTGGAAGAGTCTATTGTGTAGGTAGTTCCGGTCTCACAATATATATATATATATATATATATATATATATATATAAAGTGATAATTACTGCTTCCTTACAGCAAACTTTCGGTATTCATTGACGAAAGTATTAGCGTTACTGTCGGTTGAAATTCTTAAAATGTTTCTCTTAAAACAGTTTGTCAGTAAAATAGCTTCATTAAGTCCACTGTTTGTCATCTTGTACTATGGAAGGAGCTCTCCTAATTATTACTTTCTTTAAGGTAATATTTAATGTCAACCTTTGATTTGATTATATATATATTAAATACAAACAGACCGCTTTAAGGTTCCATGTAATAAATTATTTCACCACAGCCCTTTTAAAAGGACTGCGGATCATCAGACTTTAC